TAAGTTATTCATTATCCAACACGCCAAATTATTATTTCAGTGCGGACGAATTTCACGGACATGAGTTTCGGGGAGTGCGTGACAGAAGTACGCGAAGCGGAAAGGAATTGGCGCGTTTTCCTGTTGCTGTTTCTATCATGTTTCTTCAATAAATGAAGAAATTACCTGGTTTTCTAGCTGCTTTTCTTCGTTCAATTCATCTTATAAACTAGGACCTATATTTGCCAGCCATTCCGACTCTTCGTCGTCAGAAATATGATTCAAATTGTTCGCCATCAGTTTTTTCGTAACTTCAATCCAATTCTTCGCTTGCGCGATGCGAGAAAACCTGTCTAACCGGTTCTCTGGAGTACAAATACGGTGTGATATTTGTACTCGTCTGTGGCGTTATTTGTACTCTACGGAGTGCAGTTGGATAATAAAATGTGTTAATTTTCTTTACCTTTATTCCGTAGCCGCCTTGTCGCTTCCTGTCGTTTAATCAGTCTTCTGTGGACTTTCCTTGTACCGCGTGTTATACTACATATATAGATATATGTAATACACTGGCAGACTGGCTGATATTCAAAACCTAACGGACTAATTGACCGGGTGACTAAATAACTAACTACTGTCCCTGTACTTCAACCTTAAACCAACCATAACCATGGTGATAGAGCTTATCCTCTAGTCGGACCGAAACTATGAAACAAATTACAATGGCATACAATGAACAATCGTCACAGGTAGCTGTAATGAAAACTAAGCTTAATTTTTACTGTTTAAGGATAGATTTGAATTGTTATTTTTTTAATCACAATACATAAATCTTCGAGGCAAGACAAAGGAAGTGCTAGACAGATTTCACGAACATGGCTACCACTGTTCGACACAGAATAGAGGCCGGGCTCCTAAAACTAAAGCAGCCATTGGAAACTTGGACTGGCAGGGGGTCCCTTGTAACTCTGATGAATTCCTACAGGGTTTTCTACTGACCCTTGCCAACAATTACAAAGAGGACATGCAAGCTGTTTTTTTTAAGCTTTTATTTGAGATCATTACATTGCTGCATCTATAAATATTTTTAACCCGTTCATCGGTTATAATAATTTGATATGGTATTTTTCGTTTTGTACAGTTTTAAAGGAAATCTACGAGACATTAAAATGAGGCAAATAGTATTAAGTATTAACACTGATTCTCTTTTTTATGCCGCTTTCTTTTCCTTTCCTTTTCTTTTTTAAAACGTTAAAATAACCGCTTCGATAAAAAAGGAAGCAAATGCAACCTTGCTGATATCAAAATAAAAGATCTCACTAATTGTTGAAAAATAAAATGTAAAGATGATAAAAATAAGGATAATAGTTGTGTACATTAAAAACGTTATCATTTTCACAAGGTTCATAGCAGACCGATGGATGTCACAAATCATGCATCACGCTCTTTTTCTTCGGTCACGCGATCAGGATCTTCAGCACTCGCGTTACTGGCAGTCTCCATAAAAGGTGTTACAGGTTCAGAGAGTGTCTTCGGAATCAACTGCTTTCTCAAGAATTCAACCTCTTGACTCAAAACTTTTCTTTCCTTCATCAAGTTATTTCGCGTGGCAAGCAACTGACACATCTACTCAAAACAAAAAGGAAATCAGTTAGTCAATAACAATAATAAGAATAATGATGATGATGAGAATAATGATATAAATACCAGCATCATCATGTTGCCCTTCCAACCTTCTTAAATATCACAACTTATACCTCATCTCTAACATAATTCAGTGTTAATAATAGCTTTATTAGTTGTATTGTTGTTGACGTTGTTGATGTCCTTAATGGCCAAATCCAACCGTGACTCCATCATAGGAGCAAATCATGGACGGCTCATCCTTCCCATTAATGAAAAAATCTTTCGTTTGTTTGTTTTCTTATGTTGTTTTTGTTTTGGTGCTATTGATCTCCTTGTTAGTCGCCTATTGCTAGGGGACGTCTTAATCAAACAATGAAAACAATTTCGGACAATTAATGATCCAGATACATCCAAATCCTTTCACCTGATCTACTTGCTTTCGAGTGTTCTCGTCGCTCTGTTTGAGACGAGACTGCAATTCATGTATACGTTTGTCTTTTTTCGTGTTTTGTTCCTCTAGAGTCCGCTTTTGTGCCACAGATTCGTCAAGTCTCTTCTTCAATTTGCTGCATTCCTTGTTTGCATCTTGCATTTTGGACCTAAATTTCAGAAAAGTTCAGTAAGGGGAACCCGTGGTAATATTTAGGAAACACGAGTATGCAAACCCTCTTTCTGGCTGACCGTGCAAGAATGGATCTTTTTATTTGAAATAGTTTGCGGCTAAGCAAATGAACATTTCATAGGAATGATTTAAGGTTTCACAATTCTGGAAGATGTAGGATAAGAAAGGAAAAAGAAGTGAGGGAGGGAAGGGAAAAATAAATGAGGTAACATCGATCGAATGTACTATCGTGGGGTATTATCCGTGGATTAAAAGTCTTTAGAGCCTGAAGAGCGAAATGCGGTAGCCTAAAGGTTAACACATAAGACACGAGAAGTCTCTACCCTTGGTCAGGTCATTGGGGACAATGGGTAGTAGTTATATTTGGTCCAAGACACTCTAGGCAGACAACCTACCTTGATTTATCAGAGGAATCTTCCAACTGCTCAGTGAGTCTCTTGCACTCTTCTTTCATCTTGTTGCACACCTGAATCTCAGCCTCGAGCATCTGTTGCAATTCAGTTCTACACTGAGCTGCAGAAAGCAGAGCGGTTTATGTAAAAGGACATATGTGCCCGAAAACTAAAAGCTGTTCTCATAAACATTGAAGTCGTAATCAAAAGAGCAGAGCGATGAGATCATATGTGGTGTCGTATAAGGCGCAAAAAGCAGCTGTCATTCTTCTTCACAGATATCGAATACTCAGGAAAAAGATGGTCAACAAAAATTAACTTACTGTGCCTTGCTTCTGTCTCTTGTAATAACGTGGTGAGTTGCTCATCTCTCTGTCTGCTTTGCTTCCGAAGTTGATCGACATCTTCCGTCCTAGTTTTCTCCAGCTTTTCTTTGGCAGCAATGGCACTTTTAGCCTGTATATGAAAAATCAAAAGTCTTTGAACTAATCAACAAGAAGTTCGTCTTACCCAGAGTGGCCCACACCTCGCTCTCCACGGTTCACGAGGCGCCGGGATATTTCTAGCTGATTCTACTAAATCACGCGACAGATAATGCCAATTGAGGGTCTGCATTTACGCTACGCTAGTCAAACACAGGATGAGGGGTAAACGAACGAGAAAGAGGACTGAAAGAACAAACACGGTTGTATGAAATTACTTCTCGGTCTGCATTATTGAGTCTTTCGGTGAATCTGATGCAGTCCTCTTTACATTCCATCCAGGAGTGTTCAGCTTCTTGCAGCCGTCGTCTAAGCTCATCCATTTCGCCAGTCAGGCGGGTTTTCTCCTGGATAGAGGGACACGAGCAAAACAGTCAGAGATCTGAAATTGTTTATGGATACATCAAACTCACTTTTATCAATGTCTGTAATCTTTTACCTGCTCTCTTTCCCTCTGTGCTTGCTGAGCACTTGCTTTGACTGAGTTCAATTCTTGTGAAGCCATTGACAATCTCATTTGTGTCTGTTCAAGTTCTTTCTCCACAGTCTCATTAGCCTGATGAAACTCAAAAACCTTAGATTTAACAAACGAGTAAACTACTCAACGTACTCTTCGCTTCATATCTTTCACGTTTGTCTCTTACACAACGCAAGACTGAGTGAAACGTGACACATACACTGAATCTCAAAACCCACAACTCAACGATACTTTCCTCCCATAAAAGAAAACTTTAATCCAACCAGTGTATGGTGAAAGCGGACCCGAACTTATGGTATGAGATAGATCACCTCCCATCTTGCCTAGTTCAAATCTCTTTGCGCCTGGAGCTCTCACTCAATGTCAGAAGACATGGACTAACCTAACTAACCTTTGAAACTTCAGATGCATTCGCTAGGATTTGGCTGTTTGCTTGTTCCAGCTCTGCCATAAGGCCGACCTAACACAATGGAAAAATAAAGACATTGAAAAATGAACAAGAAACGTAGCAATTAATCATCCCAAGGAAATAAGCCGATTATCCTAAGATAAGTCGATAAACACCAACCTTTTCGCGTGTTAGCCGCTCTAGTTGGTTCTCCAGCGCTGACCGAGCCTCACTTGAAGATTCTATCTGCGAGAGTAAAGGTACAAAAAACTTGATCATGGAAAATTGTAACAAAACTGAAAATAAAAAAGAAAAACACAAAACAAATAAAACATTAAACAAACAACAACAACAACAACCAAAACAAAGACCATCTTGGCAATCGTTAGCTACAGACAAATATCGTTGGATCGAGTCCTCAATTTCCTTAACAAATAAGGTGAAAAAGACATGCTAAATAGCCACGAATTGCCCAAACATGTTAATAACAAAGCGTTTCACCTAAGTTTAAAAAAAAAATTGTAAAACCATCTTGTCCAGAGAATCTGTTTGCGAAAGTGGGAACGTCCGGCCGTACTTAAAAGATGCTAATTTTACCATGAGCGCCTTGCTGTGTTGCAGGCACATCGTCACTTTTGTTCCACGGACGACTATGCACAACGCGAGCGCTATAATTGCAAGGAGCCGACAAAACTCTGCGCTCGGGCATAGTTTGGCGGCAAATGCCCTTGCCATAAGATCAGCTTTGAAGAAACAGAGTTTTAGAAACCGTGAGACTAAGCAAGAGAGGAAAAGAAGAAAAAGGGGGATGAGCGGAGAGCGCGTGAAAAAAAAAATTAAAATCAACAAATTACATGTAACCTTGAATGGAAGAAAAGGAAGGTTTTGGATTTCCGTTCCTCTTTTATTTGTCAATCATAATTTTGAAATTATAGAGCTTGGATTTTGTGTCTTGGAGTGCGATTGGTCGTTTGATTGATTTTGGATGACAGAAACATTTAAATTTTGCCTGTGCGACGTGATTGTCCAAGGAGACTAATCGTGAAAAAGAGTAAGGCATTTTGACTTGAATCTAACGATGGCAGTTTGCTGTCACGAAAGACGTAATAATTACTGAATACGATTTCCTATCTGCATAAATGTATGGAAACAGTTATAGTAGCATTGATTTACCAGAATTCTTGTTCCTATATTGAAGCATTTGTTTCCCCCATATGTTTTTGTCCTAAACCCTTCGGGGTTGTACGAATTTATATGGATGTGGAATACATGGCAAATCTAACATTGTTATTGCTGTTTTTTCTTTCCTTTTGTTCATTTTTTTCTTGTATTACTGTTTTGTTGTTGCTGTTGTTTTTTTTTTTAGGGGGGTTGATTCAAATTAGAAAGTCTGTGGTCTGACAAACTTCATTTAAAAATTAGGTTAATTGGTTTAAGTAAAGACAAAGATTAGTAAGGAAGTATGCATAATTATATACCATTTTGCAGCGCATATTTTCTGTGAACCACTATTGAATAAAGAACCTTTCGTCTTACCAACCGCCGTGAGATGGCGAAGGCGAGAGTTAGGGAAGAGGGGCTCGAAACAAGATTAGACAAACGTTCATGCCAACTGATTTATTTTGTTTTACAGTGCTTCATGAAAATTACAATTCAACTCAACACTAAAAATTGTTTCATCTTTTTTACATTCTTCCTTATAAATACTTTTTATCCGATTTATATTTCCTTCATAGCTTTGTAGATATTCTTGGGGGTCATCTTACATGAGGTTTCAGTTCCTCTCTGATGGGAGCCTTTTGTATTGATTACAATAAAGTTCTTATAAATATATAAATAAAATTAATAAAATGTAATTGAATAAGAAGAGCGTCTATTGTGTTATGCTTTATTCTTCAAAGCCTCCCGACATATGTAAATGATGTAGACGGGTATTCTGAAGTGCTCCGCAATTCCAAAACCAAGAAAAACTGCAGGCGTCGAAAACGAAAAGTTCGAATGTTCTTGAATTCATTTTCGCATACGTGAACAAAGGGGCAAACGCATTCTTTGTTTACAATCATTAATATTTTTGCATACATACGGCGGCGTGTGTGTTATGATAGAAGCCTTTGCAATCGCTTTGCGTCCGAGAATTAAATCTTTCACAAGAAATTATTACAATAAAATCCTTGATGAGTTCTTCAAGTGTCTTGAAGTTCGAGACTGTCAATTGTACTTTGCATGCAAGTGGTGCCTTGCCTATGCATGCGGTAATCTATCTTTTTTTAAACCTCCACTGTCTGAACTTGATCGGGTAACTTTGTGAAACGTGCAAGCGCCGAAAGAAAAAAATTTCAAACAGACAACTTATAACGATACATCAGCTGTTACTTATCTGGAAACCACATATAAACAAAAATTATCTTCAAATAGTCAAAAGAAGATTGGCGATAAAGAAAAAACAAAGTAACCTTTCTTGACCCGAGAAGATTCTACGTAATTCAACCAACTCAACCATTCTCCATCGTTCAGTTTGGATTTTTCAGCGCTAATAACTCCACGTTGTTTTTTGGGCTAAATTAATCTATTTTAACAAATGTATGCAATTACTTACCGTTGAGATTGAAACCACCACAGTACTCTTAGTTGACGTCCGCCCGAGACGTTTGATCACGAGTCAGGCTTCGCCTGAAAACATGAAATTTAAACCTTTCAGAAAACTCAAACGGGTACCTAAAGAACCCTAAAGATATTTGGAGGAAAATAAAAACAATAATATAGACTCTTATCTCCTTTATCACTTTACATTATGACCATTTCAACGAAAACATGGCTTACCTTTCGGCTCGAAGCTTGCTTTCACGCCAGCTTTTCCTTCCTCAACCACGAGAGGGCGACTGAAAATGTCAATCACCACTATTAGAGCCCAGCTTCCTGTAACTCCGTCCCGGCCGTTTAGTTTAAAATTCAAACTGAGAGCAGCTAAAATAACTTCTGTTTCGTAGATACAATAACGTTTATCTGCGAACAAGTTTGGTCATAGTTTGGATTGTATGTCTTGGAGTGCGATTGGTCGTTTG